GGGGTTGGGGGGGTTACAGTAAAAATGTCACTATCATGGATTCATTGTTACCCATTGAGGTCAGCCCCACATATAATTAATCAAACTAATATGTCTTGATTTTCGTTCTGTAATCCTCAATTTCATACTTAATGGAATTGGAAGGCTAGTTGTAACATTTATGATGGTGTGAAATCTAATTTCTCATTTTTTTTCAGTTCAGAAGATAATTTGTTAATATTTTAGCGTCGGAATTGAATGTCATTTGGCAAAAGATCATGGAATATTTTGATTTTATTGATTATGACAGGAAGATAGAAGAAATATGGTCCCCTAGGAATCATCCCTCTCTGCCCAAAATTTTGTTTTGTTCATTAATATCTCGCTGTGATTTTTGATTATAGCTTATTATTTCTCTGGTTTCTAGCCTAGTTTTAGAAACGGTGAGGTTCACCATTCACCTAATCTCATCATTGCGTTTGGCAACTATATATCCAAGTTTACCTCGTGTTTATTTTTGTGGTAATTAATTAATTAATTATGGTGACTAAATTGTTGTGAATGTGTATGTATATATAGGCAAAGGTGTTCCACTACGGATCGATAAGTTTGATAGTGGAGCCATGCAGATCAGCACATTTGAAGGCAATGGAAGTGGCAAAGGAGGCAGGGGCATTGCTCTCTTATGACCCAAACCTCCGTTTGCCGCTGTGGCCGTCGGCAGAGGAGGCGAGGAAGCAAATCAAGAGCATCTGGGACAAGGCAGATGTGATCAAGGTGAGTGATGTGGAGCTGGAATTCCTAACTGGAAGTGACAAGATTGATGACGAATCTGCCATGTCCTTATGGCATCCCAATTTGAAGCTCCTCTTGGTCACCCTTGGTGAGAAAGGCTGCAATTATTACACTAAGGTATATCAATGTTTCTTCTACTCTTTTACCTATTTATTTGTCATTTTGTAGAGGTTATAACTCGTGGCGGAGGCCGGATCTCCGCGAAGGGGTTCAAAAAGAAAAAAATTAAAAAAAATTATAGCTAGTGAGAATTGAACCTATGACCTTATAAAAGTTTTGAACCCCTTGACCACTAAGCTAAACTTTTGGGATGTGTCAAGGGAATTCAAAACTTAATATATAGAAGTAAAATACAGATTTTGCCTTACATATACAGTGTAATTTTTCGGCGAACCGGCCCCTAAATCCGCCCCCGGTTATAACCACCGCAAAAAAAGAGATTATAATACTTAGGCACAATGTAAAAGACTTGTTACACTATTAGATTACTTAAAAAGATTAATACAGGTATCGTCCGTAAGATTTTGAAAGATAATACATGCATGACATATATTTATATTTAATTTTTTTCACTAATAGTATATGTTTCTTCTCTCTTTTACCTATTTTTGTGTTTATATATTTGTCCACATTCTTGAAAATCTATGAAGATAAAATCGGGCTCAAATTCGATTAATATTCTCTACATGGGACATGTTGTGTCTGTCACTTTGCAGAGGTTATAACCACTAAAAAAAAAAGAGACTATAATACTTAGGCACAATATAAAAGACTTTTACGAGATTACTTAAAAGATTACTATAAGTATCATCGATAAAATTTTGAAAGATAAGTTATCTATTAGTAACAATTTAAAATATGGTTAAAAAAAATTAAAGATAAGTTATCTATTAGTAACAATTTAAAATATGGTTAAAAAAAATTACCTCTCAGTGCAGAGTATATGCAAAATTACCTCTCAGTGCAGTGTATATGCCCTCTCAATGTATATAAGTTAAATGATGTCCTTTTTACCTTTCTTTGTTACTCCTACTTTATTAGGTTGCTTGTTATTGAATTCTCTAGTACATAGCTGTAAAGTGGAAAGAAGGTCAGTGAGGACTTTGAAGAAATGAACCACAGTGTTTAATTGTAATAATTAAAGTCGTACCAAGTAGGCTAAGGTGGACCGACAGCACTTAAGCACGAATTAACACTATTTAATTTCATTGGATGTGCATAATTTTGTTTCATCCACTTATCTCAGCCGAAAGGTCAGAAGGATTATGCCATAATTTAAGTATTCTTTACTTTTCGCCGTACTGCTAATTAGTAATTAAGCTGAGTGTCCCTTCATAGCCAATAAGGACGCATATCTTTTGGTCTTTCTTTTATTAATTAGAATCTATGATTTTAATACACTGACAAAGTTGAATAGTAGTTGTGTGCTTACTCATTGTATTATATAGTAGAGAAACATAGACAGAATGCCTACATTATTAACTATCCCTAAGTACTTTTAGTAGGCCACACTTGGGCTTAGTTATTGTACCTTTCACATATAGTACATCTATATTTGTTCCTTTTTAATAATTTCTCTAAAATAAAATAAATTTGGAGAGAGAAGTTTGTAATGTGTTACTACTAATAATTTGATCTAACTTTATCTTTTGGGATGTAGAATTTCCATGGAGGCGTTGAGGCATTCCATGTGAAGACTGTTGACACAACCGGAGCTGGCGATTCTTTTGTTGGTGCCCTTCTAACCAAGATTGTTGATGACCAATCCATTCTTGAGGTAAGGATTAAAATTAATACCTTTATAATTCTTATCCCTAAACAAAAAATGGGAGTTAATTAATTTGTTGAAAAACTGAAAAATGTAGGATGAAGCAAGGCTGAAGGAAGTACTAAGGTTTGCATGTGCATGTGGAGCCATCACAACAACCAAGAAAGGAGCAATTCCAGCTCTTCCTACTGAATCTGAAGCCCTCACTTTGCTTAATGGAGGAGCATAGAACGAAGATGATGTTACCCTTTTAATTCTTTTTAATCGTGATATATTTCGACCCTTTATGAGTTTTTCCTTTCAATCAATCAAGGTAGTTTCAGCCTTTCATTTTTCACTTTTGGGGTTTCGGATTTTAATCGTTTCTTGTAATGATGAAAGACAATGCATTAAGGCACTTAATAAACTAAGCTTTCTTCCTATTGATTTGTCGGTGGAATTTTTCATTTTACCTTTCGTTTGGCGTTGCTTTCGGCCTTTTCAAGTTTTCCATTTCATCGTTATCACATTTAACTTGTGTGGAGTCAATCAATTATTAGGTGCTTCAACTCTTAACTAGATGCGTCGTACTATATAATCTCTTACATCTGTTTCACTTTAAGTTAATTTCGTTTAGGAGAGAAAATAATTTTCAGCAATTTCCCTTTTCATCAATCCCTGCCCCCCAGTAGGGAAATTTTGCTTAAGAGTTCATAGTTAGATAGTCTAGCTTAGTCTAACTGCAAAATGCAGTATTTAAGCCAGAAAACCGGTTATATTTGAGAGATAATTAGCCTCAAGCTTCCTAAGCACTTCGATACCATCAATTAGTTTGTCCCTGTGGTTTGAGGTGAAATCGTAACTATTGAGTAATGAACAAAACAACTTGATGGCCTGTATTCTGTAAAACTTGAGTATCAGATCTGCAGTTTGGAACTTAAAATGTTGTAGTTCTCATAACAATAGAAGGTTTTACTAGCTCAAAGAAAAGAAAGACAACAAGCTTTCGTGAAATCTTGAACAAACTAAGGGAGAGGAAATTGAATCTTTGAAACTTTCTTCGAGAATGGATTTTGTACGTCCAACTTGCATTTTCGTCATGGCAAGTCCAGAAATTTCAAATGTCATCCGTTTGGCCATAGATTTTACCAAAATAAATTTGGGTTTTATTTGACAAATATATGTTTGGCCATAGAGTTTGCCTACATTTTGGCCAAATCTCAAATCCCAAATCCCAAAACCAGCTCCAAAATATCACTATTATATTTTTAAAAAATTGCCCCAAACTTTTGTATTTTATAAAAGAGCTCACCATTTATTATTTTGTAACGATGTTGCTTCGTCTTCTCGGTCATCTGATAGTGTATCATGTAGTTCATTATAAAAATGATAATTTTATATCAAATTTATTTATGTTCAGGATTATAGGTTGCGATAATATAATGAAAGTTATTAATAATGGTATTGTTGGGTATTTGTGATAGTTATTAGAACTTGTGGGTATAAGTCATATTTCATATTTTTTCAAACCAAACTTCACCCAAAACAGATGTCCAAACACATTTTCATCTTCAAACCAAACTTCACAAGAATAAATTTGTTATGACCAAACACTAGCTTAGTATTAGTTTCCAAAATGAAAAAACACACAGCGTTGTGTTCCAGCTCTAACAATTTGTATGACATGTCCAAGAACGCCTCACTGTGTTTTAAGGTGAATTGATTGTAGACTTAAGAATAAGAAGCTGATGCAACCTGAGAGGCGAAATTACACAAGATAAAGACTATCTAAAGCAGAACAATGTTTCTTCTACTTAGTACTTACTACTAAACATATCTGTTGACCATATGAGTGCACTGGTTTAGTAGTACATGCAAGCACACTTAAGCGTTTAAATAAATCTCACAACATTGGAGTTCAACCAAGATCTGGAACTGTAAAATACTCATCGTCATCTGGGATTTCAATTCTGGGCTTCTTGTAAGACATTTGATATCTGGTTTGCTTGTAAATATTATGTGTGTTGCTCGACTGAGATACTGATAGCTCGGGTACTTCAGCTGCTGTTTGTTCACCAAAGAGATCAATGTCTCCCAACCACTCAAGTTCACCTAGCTCAAGTAGCTCCTTCTGTATAAGTTGAAACAATCAAATCGTTATTTGTCACAAGACCAAGAAAATATTGAATCAAGAGTCATCATAAATTCATAGATTAGACTGAAATTTGAGCTCGGCCAACTTCACAGATACATGGAATGGTTATAACATGTACTCCTTGGAAATAATATTAGAAAGTCTTCATGTCAGAGCAAAGGCGGATGCAATATAGGTTCCGCTGGTTTAGCTGAATCAAACATTTTTGACATGGAACTTGGATATATAAGTGAAACAATCACTCTAAAAGTTTCGACAAATATTAAATTTTGAACCTATAATTTCAAACGTGGAACGGAAACACAAAAATTGAATCCATCAAGTTTAAATCCTGGACCCGCCTCTCTGTCAGAGTGTCACAAATTCAAGTTCAATGCTTGAGCTGCTTTACCAAGAGAATTGATAGATAGGGTACTTGAAAAATGAAGAAGAAATAAGTTTGCCTTACCTTGTCAGACGAATCATAATCTGGAAATCCTAGTAAATCATCAACTGGCCAAGATGGTGATGTGATACCGGACAATTGATGTGGAGGCATTTTCAGGCTAACTTGTTGAGAATTCTGCTGAGGTGGTTGCGGTGGCTCCAATTGGGTTTTTACTGCATCCTTATTACAGCTTGAGCTCAAGGCTACTCGAATTCCAGTGGCTAGGAAGCGCTGGTGGTTTGCAGCAAGGCTGCTGGCAGAATGAATTGCTTCATCACAGTCCTTGCAAAAGAGAGCTCTATCCTCAACACAGAAGATGAAGGCTGCTTTATCCTGCATACATGACAGTTCAAGGTAAACGTTAGTAATAATGAAGTCTCCCAAAGAATGTTAAATTTCTTTGGAATATAAGGTTGTCGTCCTTTAGTTCCCTTTTTGTTTTCTGGCCTGTTTACATTCATTTTCTGAGGTTAATTAACCATGTTCAGAAAGATCATCTTCCCTAGCTTCTCAAGGTATCACTCGACTCACATATGCACGTTCTTGTTGTAGACTATTCAAGGACCTCTAAAGGTATGAGTAGATACCTGCAATAAGATATACATGGAATTTCGTTTGAGGTTTTCGGTCCTTAAATGGGTCGACACCATCATAGTTCACCCTGCCAACGGATTTTTATATTTCAGTTTGCTCTTACTTTCAGATAATGCAACAAGTGAAAGATTTTCTTATAGCCGAGAAATTTGATGTTTCCAACTACGAAACTCTGTGGATAATAAGTTATTAAGTCTGCTCCTCTATTCTTCTCCACTTAAATACTAGAGTCAGTTTCCCAGTAGGTTCAAACTCATGATGTGCACCTAAACAAACATTCAGCGCTATACTACCTTTGCCAATTGGAAACATATACTATCCCTCAACCATCAAACCGTTTTTTTTTAATGAAACATCCATCAAACCATTTTTATTTTATGAAACATCCATCAAACCATTTTATTGTGCCCAATTCTACATTCATAACCCAATATTTCCTTTGCAATACTTATGGTATGAGGTTTAAGACGTGAGTCTGGGAAGTGGGAACCCTCTCTCCCCTTTTTCTTTCATTAGTAAAGCAAGATCCGGTTCGGGCACGTGATGAGGAGAGACAGAGACGCTCTGGTTACGAGGTGTGAGAGGTTGACCATGGCGGGTCTGAGAAAAGGTACAAGTAAGCCAAAGAAGTAACGGGGAGAGGTGATTAGGCAGGACATGATGTTGCTTCAACTTACCGAGAACATGACCCTCGATAAGAAGGTAAGACCCTCGATAGGAAGGTAAGGAGGTCGAGAATTAAGGTTGAAGGTTGATAGAGAGTCAAGGGTTTCTACTAGTAATTAGTAATATTCTTATATTTTCTTGTTCCTAGAGCCTTGGTATTACAAGTTGTGTCATTTTTACACGGTAATATTAGTACTCTTATGGTATTACTTATCTCTTGATCTTTATTATTACACGTTGTGTCTTTGTTTTTTTCTTGTTGCTATTGTTGGTTGCTTCCTTTTTACCGTTCCTTGAGCCGAGGGTTTATTGAAATCAGTTTATCGACTTTCACACAAGGGATAAGGTTTGCATGTACATTAACACTATATATGCCACTTGTGGGATTACAAGTGGTTTGTTGTTGGGTTTGTTGTTGTTGTTGTAGTAAAGCAAGAAATCTATTATTGCTAAATATACTATAAAACGGCAACCTAACGGTATATGTCGTGGGAGACAATAATAAATTAAAGATTAAGTAATAAATAAATGTGGCCAGTTCCTTAACCTCTTATAAACTAATAAGACCTCTAATCAAAAGGAATATGTAAAGTTAAATTTTCAATAGTCAAGGACCAACTTTAGCTATAGGATTGACATATTAACACAATCTGGACTAGAACAAAATTATTCTATAAACAGGCACATGATTACAGTCAGACCTCTATCTAAGATTATCATCATATAACAAGTTTTTCTTGGAATATATCTTTTGTTATGTTATAATATATATATGTTATTTATAAGAGAACTTCACTATAGCATTCAAAAAAAAATATCGAAACAAACGCGATCGTTCTAGATAGGTTTGACACTATATAAAGTAGAAAAAAGTTTCCTTACTTGGCAAATATCACAAGGAGGAAGCTTGTTAGAGAGGCACTGAAGATGAAGCCTCTGATGCTTACTTGCCAGTTTATTTGCTGCATGAACTTCAATATCACATTTAGCACACAAAGCTGCCTCATCAGCACAGCAAATTACAGTAGCTTGAGCTTTCTCACATACATCACACTGGATCTTCATCTTTATTACTAATATAACTCAACTCCTATCTCTTACAACTAATTCAGGACATACCCTTTTGAATTTAGCACAAGAAAAAGAAGGAAATTAGTGTTTGGAAGCTTTTCAGATGTATTTTCAAGAATTAAAGACTACCCAAATTCTGGTAAGTGAAAAGGTTCAGACCAAAACCAAACTTTGTGTCTGCAGATGAACAGAAAATCTAAAGAGAGGGGAAAATGGGAGAAAGAACAGGAAAGAAGTAGAGAGTCTATAGGCAACTTTTAGACAATTAAATAACTGGAGGAGATTTCAAGAAGATTTTATTTTAATTAAAGGCAGTGAAGATAAGGGAATTGGATTTGCGTATAAAATACTAGACTACTATTGTGACAACACAGCATTTGTGGGACCCCTTTCCCCTCCCCCAATAACACTATGTGTGGCTATTGGATTGCCGTTAATATTAGTGGCCACAAATATTTGGAGCCATATTTATTACTCCCTAGTCCCTCCATCTACCATAGTATTGGTTGGTGAGAGTGGAAATAAAATATTCAACGTATTTGATTTAAGAAAAATTGCATTTTTAGTACTTACTTACTAGTTTATAAAGATGATCTAATTTATGTCCTAGTTTTAGAATGTGTGATTTTGGTACCTAGTTTAAAGGGTTTGTAAAATTTTTATCCTTCTTTTGAAATCGATAAAAGAATGAGACCTCTTCTAATTAGTGCTAATTTTGTATGAAAATGTTATGTCACCTGCGTGAGCATAACCTATGGTCAACTCTTTTGATAGTTTGAATTTTTTTTATTTATTTACAAATCCTTTTTGCGTGCAGATTAGAGGAATAGAGTTATATCAATTACCACCACTTTAGTGCAGGAAAAGAAATTTAAAAAGAAAAATATGAACAAGGAATGTGATTGTATTGTAAAAATTTTTCCATTTCTAATCAGAGAGTTTTGATTCGAAACTTGAAATAGAGTTACTTTTGATAGGAAACGATAAATCCCTTATACTATACTATACTTTTTACGGCACTGAATACTTAAAGAAAAGGAAAAGAAATTCTTAGGTGAGGATTTGAGCCTTCAGCTGAGGGTGTAGCAGCCAGCAGGGGAGGAGAGAAACTAGATTATTGTTTTTTGGTCTGATAAATGAAATATGTTTCATATGAGATTTTTTTTTTGGTCGTTTTTGTTTCTGAGATAGGAGTAGTTGGATTGGGAAAAGTTTGTCCCGTGAAAGTGTTGAGTTGTAAGTAGCTGGATTGAAGTGTCCCTTTCAGTTTACTATAGTCATTGAATTTTGGTGTTTCATTATACATGTATTAAAAATGGTCAAGATCATTCTACAATAATGTTTTTCATGGTCACGATCATCCAAATTGTATGGTTGGAAATTATCCTTTATAGATATTATCTTTTGCATTATTTAAGTTAGTCCTTAATTGAAAACTTTCTAAGCCCTCTCTTGATTCCACTTGTTTGATTTGCATAAAAAGATCTAAATTCAATCGAGGATATTTTCAGTACACTTTTCACCTAAGTACTCCACCCATTTGATATGTCGACATATGGTCGAAACAACTAGTACAAGAGAAATAAGAACTAAAGTAGCTAGTAAAAGATATGCTTAACGGAAAGACTAGAACAATCGGAGAGAGCTTGGAGTGGTTTCAAGTGAATTTGGTTACTCAATTAACCTTTGATTAAGCTAAAGAAAATGAAACTAAGGTATGAAGTGGTTTCAAAGGCGAATTCAGGATTTAAATATTTGGGGTGCCACAAAATTTGAACGTAGACATGTTATAATTTAAATAGTCTAAACATGATAACATTTAATCGGTTTGATTTGTTTGGGTTTCGGTTCGAGTTATTCACCTTTTAGCTTTATATAGACAAATAAATCAAGCAAAAATAAATTTATGTAATAATTATGATAACTTGAAAAAAACAATATATTATGCAGTAATTTGTAAATAAAAAGGAGAGTGTACATTTCGTACAAGAAAAAGGAAATCATTATTAACGTATATTTAGATACTAGTTTCTCCGCACGTGCGTTATACGTGTATGCTGAATTATGTATATGAAAATATATTTGAATAAATAATTATAATGAAAGAAATAAAGTATAAATTTATGCGAATGATTAATATTGGGCCGTCGTATGGTAAATTTTAAGTCAATATCAAGGTGATTGGATATTGTCTGAACCTAAGAAGATGAATAATCAAATTTTAATTAAATATATGTATTTTTTGCTACTTATTTTAATGTTGTAAGGTACAAACATGTAATAAATATATTTCACATAATATTTTCTTACACACGATATTCTTGCTATATATTTCTTTTCATCTATTCTGTTGATCCCTCGTGAACATAACATTTATATCATTCTTAAAGTTGCAACATAAAGTTAGTCATGAGAGAAAACATATTACAGTAAATGCAATCCAACACTGGGGGTTGATTCTACTTAGATAGTGTAGGTGGACAAACAAAAATAAAATATATAATGAACAATGTAAGATTAGGTTATGTTCTTTCTATTACAATTTAACATTCTTGTTTAAAATAGAAAAACAATTTTAAAAAAGTTAAAAACTTTAATTTCTTGCGCTAGCAATAGCTATTATTATTTTAGTTAGTATATTGAAAGAATTCTAATATGCAAAAATTATAAATATTACCAGTGGGTATGAAAATAACATAGTATTAAAATAAGAGCAAGGGTTGTTAATTAATTTATTTTGATATCAGCGGAAAGACGTTGAAGTGCATCTTGAAAGTTGTTTGTAAGGCATCGGAAAATTAATAACCTTTTATTAGAAATTCTCTTTAATATTGCTAGTTTTCAAATAAGAACAAAAAGACTATTCAGGATAGTATAACTAATATCTTTGGGATAGAGGAGTGTCTTTTGCTGACATCTAATTAAATGGTATTATAATCCCTAGTAATCCAAATGTGAGGTCTAAAACCGACCGAACACTAATATTTGTTACTAATCTGAACTCTGAAGGGTCGTATCCTTTCAAATAAATTTGTTGTTTTTATTTAATTTCTTTTAAGTAAAATATTTAAACTATTTAGAAGGACATTTTAGTAACTTAACTTTGACTTTTGGAGTTCCCACTTTTATAATAATATACTCCCTCCGTTCACTTTTACTTGGCACGTTTTGACTTTTCACGCCCTTAAGAAAATAATAAATGAAGTGCATAATTTAGCATGATACCCATATTAAGTGATGCATATTTTATTGGATTTGAGAAAATGATTTGAAATGAGTAATAAATACTGTGGGTATAACAGGGGAAAATTTTTTATCTTCTATTGATATGCGTAAAGTGACAAGTAAAAATAAAAATCTATTTTTAATATACATGCCAAGTAAAAGTGAACGGAGAGAGTAGATAAATAGGTAGATATAGATATAGATAATTTCTTATAAGTAAAATATTTAAACTAATTAGAAGGACATTTTAGTAATTTAACTTTGAACTTTTGGGGTTGCAAAAATTTATACTGTACTAATAAGCACTCTGAACTGTAGCTCGTGTTCTCAAAGTTTGAACAAATGGAAACAAATCACCTTGTATTTTTTCACAAACTACATTCTTTTATGATTATTAGTATAAGCGCGAATAATTTGACAGAATATTAATCTTATAAATATTAGTTGTATTTTATTATTTAATATAGTGTGCAGAAATATAACACAATCTATACAAAATTAAAGGATACACATCATTTAGTAATCAAATAAATTGTTTGATCCTTTTTATTTTATTGTTGAATTAGCAAGTACTTGGTACTATTAATAATTTTCTTGAGTGTTATTTATTTATCTTTTATTTTTTAATTAATTTAAAATATAAATATCATAAAATTATCTCTATCCCCTATTTTCGTACATTCATTTCTANTATGTTTATCTTAAAATAGTAGTCACCAAATTTTACTTTTTTTTTTATGAAGGCGAATTGATAAGTAAAGATACTTCCATGTGTATAAATTTTATTTTTTTATTTTAATTTTTTTTTTAAAACTCCAACTTAAAACTACTCCCCAATTTGAATGGATAATTCTTTATTATATATTTTTATTTTTTTATTATAGCTAATTTTATATTTATTTTTAAATATTTATAAGACTCCATCTTGAAACTACTCCCCAATTTGAATGGGTAGTTGTTTTTCCTTTTTTTATTATATATATTTTTAGTTTTTGATTATAGCTATTTTTTTTTATTTTTTTAAAAAAAAAATATTTGTAAAACTCCAACTTGAAACTACTCCCCAACTTGAAAAAAAAATATTTGTAAAACTCCAACTTGAAACTACTCCCCAACTTGAATGGGTAGTTTTTTTTCCTTTTTTTTTATAGCTAATAAAATATCTTTATTTATAATTTAAATAGAGTAATAAATTAATTCAAAATTTAAATTTAAAGGTTTTTTAGTTAGAACGGGAGTAACCAAAACTACTCCCCAACTTGAATAGGTATTTTTTTTTAAAAATATTTTCATTTTTTACCGTAGCTAATTTACCTTTTTCTTATTTTTTAATTTTTAATTTTGAAATAATTTTAAAACTCTAACTTGAAACTACTCCCCCGTTTGAATGCCACTTGAAAAATATTTTGTCTTAACAATGCCACTTGACTTTTTGTATTTTTTATTTGAATTGAAAGTTATTTTATTTCTTTATTTTCATTTTTTATTTTAAAATAATTTTAAAACTCTAACTTGAAACTACTCCCCCGTTTGAATGCCACTTGAAAAATATTTTGTCTTAACAATGCCACTTGACTTTTTGTATTTTTTATTTGAATTGAAAGTTATTTTATTTCTTTATTTTCATTTTTTATTTTAAAATAATTTTAAAACTCCAATTTGAAACTACTCCCCACTTTGAATGGGTATTTCTTTTATTTATATATTTCTGTTTTTTATTATAGCTATTTTATTTTTTTATTTGTTTTTTTATTTTAATATATTTTTAAAACTCCAACTTGAAACTACTTCCCAATTTGAATGGGTATTTTTTTTTCGTTTTCTTATAGCTAATTATAAGATATTTATATTTATTAATTCAAATAGAGTAACCAATTAATTCAAAATTTAAAATTCGTAATATATTTTTAGTTAGAAAGGTAGTTTATTTTGTCTTAAAACTCTAACTTGAAACTATTCCCAAATTTGAATTGGCAATTTTTTATCTTTTTAATATTATTTTTTATTTAAAATAATTTTAAAACACCAAATTTGTTGGAGCTTTGTCCTAAAAATCTGTACTTG